GTAAGTTGAATTTTTCGTAAGAAGAAGCATTCGTAAGTAGAGGTACGATTGTATTATGCTAGAATATTACATATTTTTCCATCTAATTCCTTACTCACAACCTAGTTCTCTTCAATTATTGCAAAACTATGTTTTGCTTTTTCTAAGGTTTGGGGAATCACATGGGGGAAACTGGGAGTTTAAACAATGATTAACCATGAAAATTGTGCAATTGACATTAAAATGTGCTTAAAACAACATTAATACAAGTGCCATTATCCCATGAAGAACCAGGGAATAACCAGGCAAGAAACAACAAAAAGCCATTCATGGGAAAATTCTGTGAATGAATTACTGTTGTTTTTTGCCTGGTTCTTCATGGGATAATGGCACTTTAATCACGTTTCGTCTCAACGTTGTGAAAACTATTCATGCAATTATGCATAAGTCAGGTTAATCGCAGATTCTTCACAGCACTTTGTGTGCTGATGCCGTGTGAAAACCATTCGTGCAATTGAGGTTTAATCACGGGTTAATCACCATTTATACTTCCAATTTTTCCCTGTGTGATAAACTCCTTAGTTGTATTAACTAAACTGATGGACTTACATTTGAATTTGAGCATTAATTCAACTAAAGAATAGAAGTTATTAAGTTTTAATATAATCAGATGATACTGTGCTATACAACTAGAATATTACATATTTTTCCTTATTCATAACCTAGTTCTCTTCTATTATTGTAAAACTATGCCTTACTAAGGTTTAGGGAATTACTGTATAGTATAGGCAAGAAGAGAACCAGTGGGATGAATTCTGTAATAGCAGTGCTGAATATGCGCTGGATGATTAAGGGCTTTACTGCCCTATTTTTGATTCCTCCAGGTCAGAACACATTTACACAGCCACCATTTTGAGCAACTGATGTGACTAAGTGCCACTTCTGGTCACATACAGAACAAGCTAATGGAATTGAAAGTTTATTTCCTGGACTTTAAGAATCTCCTAGTACCCACGTGAGAGGCCTGCTTGCATGTATACCTTTCCATACCATTTGAACTGAGGACAACAACCCCAATATCTTGACAAAATGCAGGCCTATGACTAACATTGTCATTTCTCTCCCTTTTTTCTTTATGATTTTTAACACTGTTGTTCAATGAAGAAACCAGTGGAGCTTTGAAAGTTTGCAACATGTATATTATGCATTATGGCTGGCCCAATAAAACTTGCGTAGGAGCCAGCGTGGCATAGTGGTTATGAGTGTTGGACTACAACTCTGGAGACCAGGGTTCTATTCCCAGCTCAGCCATGAAAACCCACTGGGTGACCTTGGGCAAGTCACACTCTCTCGGCCTCAGAGGATGGCAATGGCAAACCCCCTCTGAAGAAACTTGCCAAGAAAACCCCATTATAGGGTCGCCATAAGTCGGAACAAGACAATAATAAGTAAAAATAGTGGTTGTGGTTGATACTGGTTTCTCTCCTCACATGCATGTTTTTTAGTATAAGGATCTGTTTTTCAGCTATGGAGTGCAAGAAAGCCTATGACAGGTTCACCTTAGGGTTGCCATGGTCTAAAACACACTGCAAAAATAATCCAGAGACTGCTTTATCTGCCTTGGCTCAGTGCTAGGGAATCCTGGAAATTGTAGTTTGTTGTGGCACCAGAGCTCTCTGACAAAGAAAGCTAAATGTCTCACAAAACTACAGTTCCCAGAATTCCCTAGCATTGAGCCAGGGCAGTTAAAGCAGTCTCAAACTGGATTCTTTTATGCAGTGTATTTTGGACTTGTCTTTATTATATGAACTCCATCTTAAGATAGGAAAGTTACTGAGGGGTCTATCTAATCCTGGGTCTGAAACACACTGCAAAAATAATGAATACAATTATTATTACTATTATTGTTGTTGTTGTTGTTGTTTAGGAAAGCTCATGCTGCCAACTTCTTTCTTTCAGTCAGTGTCAAAGGTACTACAAGATCTCTCTACATATTATTATTATTATTATTATTATTATTAAAGTTTAGGAAAGCTCATGCTGCCAACTTCTTTCAGTCTCAAAGGTACTACAAGATCTCTCTACATATTATTATTATTATTATTATTATTATTATTATTATTATTATTATAGTCTAGGAAACTTCTTTCAGTTAGGCTCAAAGGTACTACAAGCTCTCTCTACATATTGTTGTTATTATTATATTATTATTAAAGTCTAGGAAAGCTCATGCTTTCAACTTTTCTTTCAGTGAGTTGCAAAGGTGCTACAAGATCTTTCTACATAACTGTTTTGTGGGATTGGGTTCTTATTAAACCAAAAAGGTAACAGAAGAAAGGAAGAAGAGGTAGAAAAACCAACCAGAGAATGGCCCAAAACACACAGCAGAAATAATTGCAGGGAATTGCAGTTTATCGTGGCACCAGAGCTCTGTGGCAGAGAAGGGACAAATGTCTCACAAA